TTCCACTGGGAGTCAGGCTATTTGTCAGTCGATGTATGTACTGAAGCCCCCAGTAGCAGGCTATTTCAGTATGACATCAGATTGCTTACCTTAGTACGCAATACTATTTGTATATATATATATATACATATAATTATATATATATATATATATATATATATATATATATATATATATATATATATATATATATATATACACATATATAATATTTATATATTTGTATAAATATATTATATATTTATTAATATATATATATATATATATATATATATATATATTATATATATATATAAATATATATATTATCTTAAAACTTGAAGCGTATGGTGTTAGTAGCTTAGCACTTCATTTGTTTCAAGCTTTCTTATCTAATAGAAGGCAGAGAGTTATTATGGGAGATTATGTCTCAACTTGGGTTGATGTGTATAGTGGAGTTCCTCAAGAATCTGTATTAGGTCCACTACTTTTTATACTTTATATAAATGATCTTCCGAGTCTCTTAAAAATATTTCAAAATTATATGCTGATGACACAAAAATCATGTCGACTACTCCTTCTGATAAGTTAGTTACATAATAAACTATAATGTGATTTGAACTTTGCGCATGCTAGGACACAAGATTGGTTACTTAATTTTAATATCGACAAATGTTTAGTTATGCACTATGGCTATAAAACAAGAGGTTTTAATATCGACAAATGTTTAGTTATGCACTATGGCTATAACCCAATTTATATAAATGGTTGTAAACTCAACATATCAAATTCAAAAAAGGACCTAGGAGTGATTTTTTCAGATAACTTGAAGTGGAAAAATCATGTCTTATCGAATGCAAGCAAAACAAACCTCATGTTGGGTATAATAAAAAAATCTTTTGTTTAATTTGATACAGAACTGCTAAAATCTCGTTCTTTTCTTTGTTCAACCACTCCTAGAGTTTGCTGTACCAGTTTGGGCTCCTTTTCAAAAACGAGATATTGTAATTTTAGAAAATTATTGTAATTTTATTGTAGCAATTAAATATATAAATCTTTTTTAATAATTCTTGATACAAATTTTTTCATGTAATTTCTTAAAAAACTGTTTTAAGTTTATTTTTAAATATATAACAGAATTTCTTAGATACTGAGTTTATAATTTGTCATGCTTCCATTACTTCAACATATATTTTGTTTTCGTTACCATCGTTTGTTGTTGTATTTGATAGTAATACTTGTGATCAGTTTTAATTAGACCATTTTTATTAAGTGGATAATTTTGGTCATCTTTCCACAACTCTAAGCTGTTTCTATAATTAAAGAAATTTTTTTTTTTTTTAAATACCAGTTCCATGACAATTTTATTTTTCAATTCTATCTTGACTTGCACTAAGGATAATCAACATCAATGTACAAACCTGCAACAGTAATGAAAAGATTTATTTTTTGTGGAGACATTGCAATCAAAAGTTTATATTTTGCAATACTTTCAATTTTAAGATTATAATCTTTTATAATATAGCAAACAGTTTTAATATATTACATTATTTGACTTATAAAGACTTGTAAGGGGTTACCAATATTTTCATTATACCCCATTTTATAAACAGATTCAGTATTTTATAAACAGATGAAGTCCAGCCCTGTGAATTATCCAAGAAGTGTTTTTCCTTTAAGTTTTACACAAATTTTCTATTGTATTAAGTTAATTTTGATGAGAATTCATTAACAATTGTAATGAAACTTTTGATTTTTCTTTAATTTTATCTTGGCTTTCTATTTCTGGTATTCAACCTAATCAGCTAATCAGCATCAATACATTGAAATTAGCAATGGCTCATAATGAGCAGCAATTGGTTCAGACTGATCTTTAGGAGTAAAGTAAAACTCATTTTCATATGCAGTGTCTTTACAGTTCTCTGTTTCATCAATTTACCAACTAATAATTTTAAAAACAACAGCTTTTGATGCTTACTTAGCTTTAGATCAAATGGTTAGAGTGTTTGAGGTCAGCAATTTTTGCCAACCTCAAACACTTTAAGGTTGGCATTGCCAAATGCCAACCCTTATTCCCAAGGTTGTATATATACATATATATACAGTGATGCTCATTAGAACGATAAAAAATCAGATGAAACGCTAAAAGGTGCTGCTCAAAAGTTTGTTGACAGCAACAAGAACACAAGTTTAAACGAAATAGTTTTATTATTTTGGTGCAAACACAATCCATTTTATATTTTGTTAGTCCGCCTTTAGCATCGATAACTGCTTGCAAGCATTTTGGTATCAAAAGTACTAATTTCTGAATGAAATTAATGTCAATTTCTTCCCAATGACGTTTGATTGTTTTAAACATGTAATTTATTGACTTTCTTTTGTTTTGAGGAATAGTTCTATCCAAGTATTCCCATATATTTTTGATTATAATTAAATCTGGCGACTGAGCAGGCCTATCAAACTATTAAAATTTCATGATTAGCGAACCAATATTTGACGATCTTTGCTGTATGTTTTGAATCATTATCCTTCCACCAGATAAAATCGTCCTCGATCCTTAATTATGCTGCAGACGCAAAGACTGTACAATGATGAGATAAACTTCTTTGCACACTTTACCATTGATCAACTCAATAATACCAGGGCCGTTCCATGAAATAGAACCTTAATGCATCACCAACCCACCACCAAACTTGACTGTAGGTATCATATGTTGCATTAAAAACTCATCATTCTTTTTTCTAAAGACCATTCTTCTTCTCTTTGTTGATTGGAGTTTAAACTTGCATTCTCCTGTCCAAATAACAGATTTCCAGACTTTAAGTGGCAACTTTATATGCATTTTAGCAAACGCCAGCCTCATTCTCTTCGATTATTTATAGAGATGAATGGCTATTTTCACATTGCTTTACCATATAATCCGACATCGTTGAGACACCTTCTAATTGTTTGAGGACTACTTGCCAAATTTAATTCATTTTTAAGTTCTATTGAACTCATGTTTGGCATTTCAATGTTCTAACGATCAGTCTATCATTTCTTGCAGTTGTTTTCCTTTGTCGACCTGATCTAATTGAATTTTCTGCTATTTTTCGCTGGTTCATTTGCTTAACGATCATCCTTACACCTTCTGCACTCAATCCAAATATCTTTGCTACTTCTCTCAATGACTTTCCTTCCTCCTTAATTAAACAATAAATTTCAATCCTGGTATGAGTCGAAGTTTCACAGTGTGCTATCTTAAAAAAGTTTATTTCATCAATATGCTGTTCAAAACAAATAGTGACATTTAAAATGCTTATTTAAAATATTATTTAACTTAATTAAGCCATTATTCTGCTTATTTCATTAACTTACCGGTGATTATATATTAAAAAAACATTTGTCAACAGACTTTTGGATTTAGCCAAATTTATAAATCGTGATATATTAACTTATCAATTTATATTTTTTGTTATTTTTGTAATACTTTTAAAAAGTAACTTTATCTCAAAAGGAATTTTGCAAAATTTTGTTTTTCTTTTTGGTTTTTGATCGCCTGTCAACTCACTTTTGAGTGTCACTGTATACAATTTTTTGGTGAGCGCCTGAAAAAGCGCCAGCCTTAGTATTGGCGGGCGTGTGGGCAAGCGCAAAATTGCAAGAGAGCGAAAGTGCTCGTCAAACGGAGAAGACTGATATATATATATATATATATATATATATATATATATATATATATATATATATATGTATATATATATGTGTGTGTGTGTATATATATATATATATATATATATATATATATATATATATATATATATATATAACAAAATTTAATACTTCATTAAAAAAAAAAACCTTTTCAACAATTGTTCTTAATTTGTCTTTTCGATCATCGTGTTCTATTTTAAGAATATTACTGCGTAAATGAGTAACAATTTGTGCAAGATAGTCAATTGAAGAAGAACGAACATTCATATCTGCTTTGCTACTGCTAAATGTCACAACAAATAAATGACTTAATTGCATAAGTAAAACTTCAGCTGCAGGCCATTCAGGTAGATTTGCTGTGGTAAAAAGATCTTGTAAAAAATTTTCAAACAATGGTCTGTAATCATTTTCTTCTCGTGATGCTGAGCATCTAAAAAATTTTAAATATATAAATTTGCTTATAAAGCAAGTTTATATATATATATATATATATATATATATATATATATATATATATATATATATATATATATATATATATATATATATATATTATTTGATTTCTGGTGCATTTTGATGAATACATAGAAAAAATCATATTCATTTTTATTTAAAGTTTTATTTACTACCTCCTCCAGTGCGTTGAAGTTTTTAGACTTTTCTTAAAATCTTCTTATTTTACGCTACTAATGCGCACTTAGTTAGCGCATTTATAAAGTCGACTTTTGCAATGAAACAAAACTTTCAGGAAACAACCACAATTTATTGTTCCGCCAATATATTATAGTAATTTTATTTATAGATATAGTTTGAAAATCTTACAATTTATTAAGAGATTTTAATGATGACAGATTAGAAGTATATAGATTTTTGTATTGCTCTTAAAAATTTGGCTTACCAACAACCTGTTTAGAGTCAGAGTTAAACAGCTTTTTTGCAACTTTTTCTCTAACTTCAGGCATTAGTTCCTTGTCAGCTATGGAGAAAATAATTGTTCTCTGGTCGTGGTACTAATTATGTCATTTCATCACGTTCATGCATGCTTGGGCAATATCAGGTCTTTTAATTTTATAAATTTCCATATCTCTGATTGCTTGTAAATCCATATCTGGACATGTAAAAGGAGCTTTTAAAAACCAAAAAGTATAAAAAACACCAACAAACTCAGCAAAAACTGTAAAACATGACATATCTTTGTAGAAAAAAGATTTGAATCAAGCTGTGGACTAAGAAGGCAAAGTACAAGATTATAGATTGATTTATATTGATATAAATTTTTTTAAATAAAATCCTTTGACAAATCTGCCTAAGTATACAACTGTTAACTGGCAAAGGTACTTATATAAAATATGCTTTATATAAAATATGTTTTATATAAAACATGTTTTATATAAAATGCGTCTTAGATAAAAACGTATTTCCCTACTTACAGAAATACGTTTTCTTTTAAAGCTTCACAGCAAAACTGTAAGACTTTATCAGCCTAAAAAAAATACTTATTCAAATAATTACGAGAAATTAATTGTTGATAAAAAATATACTTTATTATTGTTATATATTTTCATTCCTAATAATAAGTCTTGACAGTTTAAAATCTCTAAAATATTATTATCACACCTTATTTTCAATAAACGTTCCACCATTACTTTTCCAGTCAAACTAGTTTAGTCATATTCTCAAAATTTATTCCTTTAGCAAACATTTTATTCCAGTTATCGTGTAACGTTTTAAATGTATTGTCTGTAGGTTTGGTTGTAACTTTGTCTGTCATTTTTTCTATTTCTTGAGCTCGGAGTTCTACAACATGGTGCCTACATGCTAACCAAATTAATGGTTTGCCTCTCCATCTCTCAATAATTGACACGACTCCATTAATTCATCCAGTATTACTCGCAGTTGTATCAAAGAATACACTATCAACTGCTTCGAAAAAATTATATTCATTTAAAACCTTTTTTATTGCAGTAGCCTGGGTTATTCCACACCCAGCAGAATTTCCAATTACTTCAGTAAGCTGAGGCTAATTGAGATCTGGTTAGCCTAAAGTTACTACCAACCTTTACACATTTTTGCCATGATTAAGAACATCTGTAATATTTTTTTTTGTGCCCAGGTGAAGATTCAGAGATAAGTGTTTAGCTTTTGAGATAAAAGATTCATTTATTTTAATTCTGTTTTGTTATGCCTTCTTGAAGTTGTTTCTGATAGTGAAAACTTATTCAAATCTCCTGCATTTATGATACTTGCAATTATGGCTACATGACCTGTTAAAGAAATATTGTATCTTTTCGCAACAATAGATGTTGATTTAGTTATATCTTTAGACAAAGAAACCATTAAAATATCAACAGTTTTTTTCCTCTTTGAACTGTATTCTTTGAAGAAGAAGAACTGTATTCTTATATCTAACTCATCTGAGTCTACAATTTCAGTATCAAAATGTTTTTGAAGACTTGATTGAAAAATGTTGTCAGACAATTGTTGACCTATCATTTTTGCTTAAAATTGATTTGTTTTTGCAATCTTTTTTTTTATAAACTTTTCATAATTTTTGTCCTTACGAACCATTGACCACTTTCGCAGGCATTATTGATAGTCTGAAAACATACAACCTTCTTTTCTGGTTGGAAGTGATTTAGTTTTATCTTTCATTATTATGTCATTTACATCAGAAGGAGAAATGTTAAAAAGATTACACATTTCAAAATTCTATGCACGATTTTTTATACCCAGTAGATACTTTATTTCTGTTTGCTTGTAATCTACTTGCGATTTTCCAATTCCATAATGTTATTCCTATGAGGTATATGTATAAGTTAAAAAGTAAAGTTAATTACTAGTAGTAAGTAAAGTTAATTACGCATTTTATCATATTTATACCAATATTATTTCTGTCAAAATTAGAAATTAAAAGTATTATTTATACCTTATTTGTTTATGACACAATATTGGAATTAAAGCCTTCTCCCATATATTAACTACAGCTTTAGTAACAGACATCAAACTGTTCTCTTTCTGACAACCACCAGATTTGTTATATTTAGGCGTAAAAAAAAAATTAGAAAGGTGGCAGGCAACAACAGAGCATGTTTTAAAGCGTTAAGCTGCGTATGAATTGCATACGCCTAGAGCAATTTGCATGAAGCAACTTTTGATATTTTTTTAACTTTTAAATTACTCTTTTAAGCGGTAAGATAAAAGAAGTAATTAATTTTATAAAAAACCACTTTGACAATTGTGTAAGAAAGTTTGAATGACAATTATGTTAGATGTAAGCGCTATTTACTAATGAAAAAAATTAAAAGCTACAAAAACAATCTCTATTAAGCTGATTATTTTATCGAACAGAAAACAAAACTGTTTATAGTAAAGATAATTTATTTTTTTTATGCGAAGTTATTAAAAAAAAAAAATAAAACATAAAAGAAATATATATAATAAAAACTTTAATTTATCATATTGAGAGGACAAGAAGTTTATGCAACTTTTGATTGCATTAAAAAAATTTACTTAAATTTCTATTTCTATAGTAATAAATAATTTTTTTGTTGTAATGATTGATTTTTTCGCTTGAAAAACGCTAATACTTTAATGCTTGAAGCAAAGATCATTATAATGTAACTTATTTCTGATAAAAAAATAAATGATTTAATTCAAAACTAATTTAACAAAAGTATAATTTTATTCTGATAAAAAAAAAATTAATTTAATTTAGATTTTAAAAAAATATAATTAAATTTTGATTTAAAAAATATATTTAAGTTTATTTAAATTAAAGTCAACTTAACTGACATATTTTTTTTTTGATATTACTAAATATAATTCAATATTTGAATTTAATTTGTTCTTAAAAGAAAATTAGCTATTTTTTATCGTAATAAAATTGAAAAAACAACAAAATTATTTTTTCAGTTTTCCTTTCAAAACATTTTTTTATTACTCAAAATTAAATTTTAAATAAATGGCTTCATCAATTTGCACAAAATGTAAGTCAAACTTTTTTTTATAAATGGCACGTTAAATTGCAGCAATTATTTTTTAATAAATGTCTTTTGAAAAATAATCTTTGCTTTCACAACAAAATGGTTTAAAAAATAATAAACTTTTAATAAATAAAAGTAGATAAATTAACATAATTTTTTTGTTACTCACTAATTTTTTTAAAAAAAAAATCTTTTTTAGTAGCAATTTTTTTTTAATGATTAAAATAAATGTGCAAATAAACTTTTTTTTAATGATTAAAAAATATGTTAAATTTTTTTTTTAATTTAATATCAAATTTAATTATTTAATATTAAAAAAAATGAAAGAAATAAACATTTTGTATTAATAAAAAACGAGTTAAACAATATTTAACTTTGTTTTGCAGTAATCCTAATATTATTGCAGTAATTTGAAAAAGTTAATGTCTTAAAAAAATAAAAAGATAAAAAGAATTTTATGACGTTAAATTCAAATTAAGCTGATGCGTTAAGCATCTGTTATTTAAAACAAGGCCTGCAACAAGGTCTTGAAGTCTAGCAGATTTAGAAATTGATGTCATAAAGTATTTTCTATGATAAAGATATCCAAGCACTTCTCCTTTTGTTGGCAGCTTATTATTAGATAGGTTTTCAATGGTTTTTTCTACCAAAAAAACTTTTTTTGATCTTGTTTAAGACATTGCTTATATTTTTGTGAATTCCAGATAATAGTAAGTGTAATGTTTAATAAAAAATTTCTTATATATGTTTACAATGTCCCTAGAGATATAAATTAAAATTGTTCATGAACAAAACCTTGAATTATACATATAATAAAACTAGTATTAAACCTGTTTTATTGTAAGATTTTTAACATTTAAGATTTCCCAAGTGAGTATTATAAGTGACATTTATTAAATTTAATTTATTAAGTTATCTTGAATAAGTTATGCAATAATAGCAAAAACAACACTTTTTGCTAAAAACAAGGAGGTTTATATACATATATATATATATATATATATATATATATATATATATATATATATATACAAACTTACTTTTTCAAAAAAAAAGATAGAAAGTTTTGTGCAGCTCTCAATGAATCTTCATAACTTTTTACTATCAAAATATTTATATCTACAATATTTTGCAAATTATCTTTTGAGTCAGTTTTGCAAGAAGTTTGGACAGTACATTGAACAAGCTGAAGAACTAGTGCTGTAAACATTTGGATGGAATCATTTTCTTCTAGTCTAAATCAAAAAAATTTTAATTGCTACAAATTTTTAATCTTATTTTAATAAAATTAAATTCATTTATTAATACTTATATAAAAAATAGAAAAATGGAAAAAACAAAATAGTGCAAAATGATATTGATAACAATGTTTAATTTTTTTCATTAAATAAAGGTGAAATTATTCATAAATATATTTTAATAGCACATAGTTAGATAAATATTAAAGAAACTACTTGTTTTACAGTATTGAGTAATACAAGGGTCACTGTGCACCAGAGAGACCGCCAGGTTTTTTGTCGTGGCACTCAAACCAAGTTCTTATTTTATGAAAGTATTATATATATTGTTTTAGAAAATATATTTTTTGAAATCGAAACGCGTTGCTATCATACCTTTTTTGATATAAATATATTATAAAATGGTTATAAAATTTCTTAATTTTTCGCCGGAACTTGACTTGAAAAAAATGTTTAAAAAAATGTTTTTATCCTTGGAAACCACTGATAGATATTTTTTTAATGGAGGTAACAAAATTTATTTTGTAAAATATATTGTTTAATATAATAGTTTAAAAATAAAATTAAATATGTCAAAAAAAAATTTTTAACAAATTTTTATATATAATTAACTAAATATAAGCTATTTATTATATTAATTATACTGTAACCTCATATTAGATGGGCTTATAAATTTAATTACCCCCTGTACTAACTAATCAAAAAAAATTTAGAGATTAAAAAGATGGTAGTATAAAAATTTTCAAATTGCGGAAGGTCGTGCTACTTAGGAGTTGTATTTCTTTTACTTAAAAATGAATTCTACTTGTTGCTGTTGCTGGGAAAAGTATGGCGAAAGATCAAAATCATTGAAAAAAATTAATAAAAACTTAGAAGAACAAATTCAAATGTTTATCTTTCCTGGATATTCGATGAACAACGATTGCTATCCATCAGTTGTTTGTCCTGGTTGCCGAAGAAATCTTTACAGACTCAAAAAGGGAGACTCACCTCGTGGTGAATGGGGAGCTAAGGTTACCAAGGTAGTTTTAATGATTTTTTCCATTTATTTTCCTTTTTTTTCTTTAGTTTATTTATAAATGTATATTTATTTAGGTAGAGTGGAAAACCCTTTTGAGAAATAGCCCCAGAACCAGTCTAACTCTTCCAGATGAGATAACTAATTTTCCGACAACTAAGTCAAGTATATGTTCTTTTTGCTATTCATTGCCTGCACCTGGTTATTCTCATAACTGTACACCCACCAGTGCTGTGGCAAATATCATTACACTGTCATTTCTTCTAGGTTCTCTTCAAGCTGAACAGGTAAAAAAAACTATATTTTGTTTATAAGTTTTTAGTTTTTTATGCAAATTTCATTTTGTGAAAACTTTACGTAGGTATCAAATTTTGTACTTGACTTATTAAAATTGCGTGGTTTAGACCCTACTTCAGCCTTTATAAGAATTTCATTGGATGGTGGAGGTTCATTTTTTAAAGTAATCATCAATGTCTTTGATTGTCAAAAAGATAATGAGTCAGACAAGTACTTAAATAGTGGCGTTCAACGGTCTCAATTTTTAGCTATTGTTGAAGATATTCCTGAATCTAACTATAATTTGAGACTTGTTATAGAAAAATTAAATTTGCAAGATGTCAGTTTTTATGTTGCTTTTGACTTGAAATGTGGAAACGCACTGTTTGGTTTATCAGGACATTCTGGAAAAAAAGCTTGTTTATGGTGTGAAGGAATATCTACATTAAATTTAGGGACAAAACGAACTCTTGGCAGTATTGATTATTGGTACAATAAATATTTAGAAAATAACTCAGTAAAATCATCCATGCAAGAGTTTATGAACTGCATCAATCCTCGAATTTTATATATTAATTTAGATCCAAATACTTTAATTGAGCAACTCATTCCTCCACCTGAACTTCATTTGTTAATTGGTTTTGTTTCACTGCTTGGAAATTTTTTGTTAGATGTCTGGCCAGGATTTGATGATTGGCTAAAGTCAAAAAATGTTATTCAGCGAGGGTACCAAGGCAGAGGCTGGGACGGAAACAATTCGAATAAAATATTAGAAAATCTTGATTCTCTTGAAACACAAATTTTAGAAACATTTACTTGTTTGATTCCAATTGTACAGTGTTTGAGAGATTTTAGAAATGTAAAAAATTGTTGCTTTTCCAGCAATTTACAAACTGGCTTCAAAGAAGCAATAACAAATTTAAAGAATTCATTTCTTTCCGCACAAGAAGTTGCAGTAAATTTAAATAAACAAATAAATACAACATGGAAAGTCCACATTCTACTGTGTCATGTACAGCCATATGTGGAACACCATAACAAAGGATTGGGTAACTTTGCTGAACAATGTGGAGAAAGTATTCATGCAAAGTTTAAGCCAACATGGACAAGGTTTAAGAGACAAATAGAGCATTCCGAACATGGTGACAGGCTATTATCAGCAGTAGTTGATTTTGGAGCAAAAAGAATTAGATTTTGTTTATAAATTTATTTATGTAGTTATATGTATATATGTATATTTATATTGTGTGTGTGTGTGTGTGTGTGTGTATATATATATATATATATATATATATATATATATATATATATATATATATATATATATATATATATATATATATATATATATATTTAATATGTAAGTTGATTTATATATATATATCGTATAACAAGAAATGACTTTTAAAGATATATATATATATATATATATTTAATATGTAAGTTGATTTATATATATATATCGTATAACAAGAAATGACTTTTAAAGATATATATATATATATATATATATATATATATATATATATATATATATATATATATATATATATATACATATACATATATATATATATATATATATATATATATATATATATATATATATATATATATATATATATATATGTATATATATATATTAAAAAGACTTAAGGTCAGGTCAGGTTTTCCTGCTACTGGTAACATGTAACCCAGTACAACCTGCTCCATGTCCTGCTGCCTTGTAGGATACGCTTTTTTAGGCAAAGGCTAGGAGAATTTAACTCCGAATTAAAACACCCCCTGCCTTGGGGCTCTTGGTTGAGTAAAGGCTAGAGATGGTGTCTCCATAAAAATACTCATCTTGGGCAGATGTTACATGCATCCAGCTGCTGTCTTGTAGAAGGCCTCCTAGGCAAAGACTTAAGGGGTAAACAGATTCTATCTGTTGACCAGCCTCGCACCCCTTCCTCATCTATTAGGCTGGCGCAGATGTATTTTTAATACATTGTTTCCAGTTTAGGATGTTGAACGCTGGATCTTCTTGACTCAATGCGTGGGTATTGCTTGTGTCTCTATTTTTATGACTGGGCAACTCATTCTATTATCTCCTAATGAGGGTACAGCTCTAAAACTCAGTTTTATGGTTCTGAGGCCGGCTGGTAGTCAGGTTTCCCGAACTCTGTGGTAGCTCTCAGAGAGGCTGATTCCATCAACAGCTGAAAAATATCAGAGTACTAACAGTGCCATGTTGCGCATGGATGGTGTCCCTGTTTGTACTTTTGGTGTGCATTGCAGAGGCCACATTTGGAGCCCTTTGTTACGGCTTAGGGTTTATTAATAGTAATGAGGCTATTGCTTAGTTGTTAAATAGTGTACTGAGTACTATCTATACTTGAGTCAAGTTCTTTATAAATTTAAAATGACTAAAGTACCTAAAACTAAAAAACACAAAAAACCATCGTCATCACCAAGTTCTCTAAACCAATCATTTACTAATATTCGTGGTCTTCGAAGTAACTTTTCTTCTGTTGAGTCTTATCTCTTGCAAAGTTCACCAGACCTACTTGCTCTTTGTGAGACTAATTTGAGTTTGGCTGTCCCATCTTGTGATCTTAGTGTTGATGGTTATCTTCCTTTAATTCGTAAAGACTCCAATAATCACATGCTTGGCCTGGGCATCTACATTCGTAAGAACTCACCCATTTGTCGTGAAACTAGGTTTGAATCTACAGACTATTCATTTATGTGCTTTCGTTTAGCACAACTTCACTCTATCGCCTTTCTCTTTGTTCTATATCGCTCTCCTTCATCCCAAGATTGCACTATTCTTGATGTTATTTCTGATCAAATTGACCAAGCCCTCTCTCTTTATCCATCGGCCAATATCGTCGTTGTTGGTGACTTTAATGCCCATCACACCGATTGGCTTGGCTCTAGTGTCAGTGACTCTGCTGGCGTTAAGGCCCTCAACTTTTGCCTTTCTCAATCTCTAACTCAAATAGTCAACTTTCCAACTCGTTTTCCAGACAACCCTAATCATTTACCTTCTCTACTCGACTTATGTCTTGTTTTGGATCCTAGTCAGTGCTCAATTTCTCCACATTCACCCTTAGGTACTTCTGATCACGGTTTGATCTCTCTAAAACTATTATCAAATTCTTCTACTTCATCAGAATCCCCCTATCATCGTAGCACATACAACTACCTTAAAGCTGACTGGGACTCTTTCCGTGATTTTCTTCGTGATGGCCTTTGGGTAGAAATCTTTCGTCTTCCTGCTGACAAATGTGCTTTTTACATAACTTCGTGGATTCAGGCTGGCATGGAATCTTTTATTCCCTCTCGACGATTCCAGGTCAAGCCTCATTCTTCTTCTTGGTTTTCCTCACATTGCGCTGCAGCAATTTCTAATCGAAACCGTTACTTCCATATCTATCAGCAAAACAAATCTCCAGAAAACAGACATCTGTTCACTATCGCCAGAAACCATTGTAAAAAGGTTTTGTCTGACGCCAAAGCTCGCTATTCCCAGGTCATTAAATCTCGTATCTCATCACAAAAATTAGGCTCTCGAGACTTCTGGAGAACCTTTAACAGTATCAATAATAAGGGCAAATCTGTTATTCCTTCTCTCTTGTATGGTTCAGACTTTGTCACCTCACCTAAAGACAAAGCTGAATTGTTTGCTAAGAACTTTTCATCAATATCATCTCTTGATTCCACTAGTTGCGTTTTACCTGACATAGCCGTCAAACAGGTTGATCCCTTGCTTGACATTCGCATCACTTCAGCTTCTGTATCTAAAGTAATTTCCTGCTTAGACTCTTCAACAGCTTGTGGTCCTGACAACATTCCTGTTGTAGTCTTGCAGAGGTGTTCTCCTGAGCTTTCATCCATACTCTCTAAACTATTTAACAAGTGCTTATCAGAGTCTTGTTTTCCATCATGCTGGAAAGCAGCATCTGTTATCCCTATTTTCAAAAATTCCAGCGAGCGATCTGATTCATCTAACTACCGTCCCATTAGTCTTCTTCCTGTCATAAGCAAGGTTTTTGAATCTTTAATCAACAAACACTTAATCTCTCATCTTGAATCAAATAACTTACTTTCTGATCATCAATATGGATTTCGGTCTTCTCGTTCTACAGCTGATGTGCTAACAGTAATAACCGATAGGTTTTACCGTGCATTAGATAGAGGTGGAGAGGTTAAGGCTATCGCACTTGACTATTCTAAAGCTTTTGATAAAGTTTGGCATGCTGGTCTTCTCCATAAACTTTCTTCTTATAGTGTAGCTGGTAACGTCTTTAAGATTATTGAGTCCTTTCTTTCCAATCGTAGTATAAAAGTTGTCCTCGATGGACAACACTCTTCTTCACATCCTGTAACTTCAGGGGTTCCTCAAGGTTCAATCCTTGGCCCTATACTCTTTTTAATTTACATTAACGATCTTCCAGATATTCTCACATCTAAGGTGGCATTATTCGCTGACGACACTACCATTTACTCTTGTCATGATAAGAAGCCTACACTCTCTGATTGCTTGGAGGGGGTATCTGAGCTTGAAAAGGATCTCACTTCTGCAACAGCATGGGGCTCACAGTGGCTGGTGAACTTTAATTCAGATAAAACTCAATTTTATTCGGCCAATCGTTATCGTAATAATTTAGATCTTCCTATATTTATGAATGGTAATGTACTAGATGAGTCATCTACCATTCATCTTCTAGGATTAACTCTTACTTCTGATCTTTCTTTTAAATTGTATATCAATTCCATTGCAAAATTAGCATCTGCTAAGGTTGCATCTCTTTATCCAGCTCGACACTTTCTTACTCCAGATTCTATTCTCTATCTCTATAAATCTCAAATCCGTCCCTGTATGGAATACTGTTGCCACATCTGGGGCGGATCTTCTAATGATGCTCTTTCTCTTTTAGACAAGGTGCAAAAACGAATTGTAAACATAGTTAGACCTGCTCTGGCAGCCAATCTCCAACCTTTGTCACATCGTCGTAATGTTGCTTCTCTTTCTCTTTTCTACAAATACTATAATGGGCACTGCTCTAAAGAGCTAGCGTCCCTTGTGCCATCTACTAAAATTCATTCTCGTGTTACTCGCTATTCAATTAAGTCTCATCCTTTTTCTGTGACTGTTCCTAAGTGCTTCAAAAACTCTTATTCTTCTAGTTTTTTTCCTCGAACATCAGTTCTTTGGAATTCGCTTCCTTTATCTTGCTTTCCTGATTCATATAATTTGCAATCTTTTAAGTCATCAGTCAATCGTTATCTTGCTCTACAGATTTAGTCTTTTCTCTTCCAGTAACTTCCAACTCATATAGTGGTTGCAGCCTTGTTGGAAGTGAAGATGTTAAAAAAAAAAAAAAATATATATATATATATATATATATATATATATATGTATATATGTATATATATATATATATATATATATATATATATATATATATATATATATGTATATATATATATATATATATATATATATATATATATATATATATATATATATATGTATATATATATATATATGTATATGTACATATATATATATATATATATAAATATATATATATATATATATATATATATATATATATATATATAGATATAGATATATATATATAGATATATATATATATATATATATATATATATATATATATATATATATATATATATATATATATATATATATATATATATATATAGATATATAGATATATATATATATATACATGTATGATTATTTTATAAATGTACAGTTTTCTGAGCAATGCAGATAGTTTGTTTCAAATTTGAGTATACAAGAAATAGTTTTGAGTGTGTAGACAAAAACACTCAATACGTAGATTGACTCAATAGTTATTTTTAATCAAAGAAGAGTTAAATTTATCTGTATCTTTGACATATTGCTCTGGAGCAGGAAGAAGAATTGTTCGTATTTTGTTGAATTATATACAATATTTTAATAAATATTTTAAATTTTTTGATTTTTTTTTTGTTTGTTTATACTTTGTTTAAAATATTTGACATTTATTTTCAAAAATTATTGTAACGGGCATCTCAAATGTTTAAATGGGCATAGGGCCCCTCCATTTTACCCTTTGCCTCATTTACGACCCTTGACTTTTTTTTTTTAAAAAAAAAAAAGGTTTTTTCTATTTTTATTAAACAAATACTTTTGAATTAAAAACTTTTTTTTTGTAACTTGCAACTAGCATACTTAAATGGGCTTGTGCCCCTCCTGTATTTAC